CTGCAGACAGCGCCCACTCGGCAGAGGGCATCTCAAAGGCATCGGGGTACATTCAGGTAACTGGTTGCTTGTTACTATTACATATAAGCGATTTCTCCTGGCTTGGGCACAGGTGGCACTTCCGTTGGAGTCCAAGATTTGCCAGAGTGAGGAGAATGGGGCAGGAGGTGGGGGTATGGGGCCCCTGCATGGGCTCTCAGTCACCCCAACCCAGTGCAACTACCCTGCTGGCACAAGCACAGGAATTTATCAGCATTCCCCAGAGCCCCCGGGCATTTCCAGGGCACAGCTCTGAGAGGGCAGCACAAGGGAGTGGGTGGGGCTGTGAAATGTGATTTCAGATCATGACGCATCCGGGGAACATTCTTACTTCATCCCTGCCCTTTCCTCCTTGTCCTACCCGGTTAACAAAGGTCAGCCTGGACTAGGTGTCCTTTCCAGAGACCACAGCCCCGGTTCTGCCTCAGCCACTCACTGTGAGTCTTTGGGGGAGAGGCAATTCCCCTCTCTGGGCCTCAGTTTCCCCAACTGTAAAGTGGGTGCGATGGCACCTGTCGTCTCATCAACCCATCAAACCACCCCACAAGCCTGCGGAGCCAGAGTTGGCAGAATTCCCCTCCCTGGTAGAGAAACGGGCAGAGCCATGAGCTGGGTCAAACTGCCACAAACTGGACCTGAAGCAACTGAGAGCTGGAAGCTCACGAGCAGGTGGACGCAGCTCAGTGGGGAGAAAGGGAGTCGGGTCCAAACAAAGTCCGCACGGAAAGTGTGGCATCAGCACGGGCAGGAGCCCAGGAATTTGGCCCACGAATTCACCCTCTCAGCAAATCAAATTCTGTGGATTTCCACGATGCTGGATCTGTACAATTCCCAGGGCTCACTTTCTCCATCAGTTAAGTAAACAAACAGACCAAACAGGGCTGTTGTAAAGACGGGACAGGACGTTGTGTATAAACGACCTGCAGACAGTAGGTGCTTAGTACATGCTGGCTCCATGCCCTTCCCCATTTGTCTACCAAGCTGGCACCAGGAGGCCCTGGTTATTGGCGCCCCAGCTTGCCTCAGCCCCCCACCAGGCCAACAAGCAGGCCGGATGTTTACACTGGCTGGTCAGGGCCCCCTGCCTGCCTGGGACAGGCTGAATAAACACCCGCTTCACACTGGCTCCAGCCTCCACTTCCCGCAGACCATTCACCTCCCAGGCAGGTCTTCATTCATGGGGGCCTCCACCCCACTCAGGATCCTCTGTTTATGTTCTCCCTGCGGACTGTTTTAGGGCTTGATGCATCTAGCTGATAGCTGGCAAGACATCCCAACCCAGTCCACGACTGGCCAGGGCAGGCCAGTGAAGGGGCAGGAGCGGCTGGACTCAGGCACCCAGCTTCGGAGGCTCAGCTCCCTCATCCATAGAATGGGGGCACCAGCGGGGCCCATCCCACAGGACATGTGGTGGTGGAACGGGGCAACAGTGTGAAGGCACTGAGCACAGCGCTGGTGCCTGGAAGGTGCTGGAGAAATAAACTTTTAAAAAATTTGTTTATTACTGTTTTATGGGTCATTAAGTTTGGCCAAGAAGTGGATGCCTAAAAGTAGCAGTAAATCCTGACTAGACAGTACCAGCACTTTCCATGCATTACTTCATCACCTGCTCCCAGCATCCTGATCCCCCTTTCACAGCAGAACTGATGGGGGCCACACAGCCAATCAGACTGAGGAAGTGTGTGCCCCAATGCAGTCTGCATTCTTCACCACACATGCCCCCATGTCCCAGTGTTATAGGGCAGCGCCAGGAAGGGCCCTATCTGTGTTCCCAATCTCCCTGCATTCTGGGGGCATCTCCTGAGGTCCTGGCCTCCTCTAGGCCATGAGGGGGACTAAGAGCCTGGGGCTTAGCAGTGCGGCCACTGCTGCCAATGCCCAGGTGGTGACCTGAGGGTCAGTGATGGTCTCCCCTTACCCTGGGTCAGCTCTGTCATGACAAGCGACACATCCTCTACCCCATGCCAGGCTCTGTGATATCCTCACGTATCATCGTGGCCACCTGTGCTGAAGGTGTTATTATTCCCACTTGAGGGAGGAGCAAACAGCTTTGGAGAGAAGAAACTGCATATCCAGAGCCCCCACATAACTGACTCAGACCTGGCTCCTCTGGCTGGAAGGCAGGTCTTGGCACTTGCCAGGCTGCTCCTTTCTTGTGGGGGACATAAGACCTGCCACCAAGAACCGAACACAAACCAGAAACTGATAAGGGCCTACAGGGAAGGCCAGACAGTAGTTCACCTTCCTGAGGCGTCTGAGTCAAGACATCACACAGGAAAGACACAGAGGAATTTCCTGCAGGGAGGCGCACATCCTGCAGTGAAAGGCCCAGGAGGGGCTCTGTTGGGGAGTCAGGTTGGGCTGGCAGGGCTGACCACAGATTGCCCCTCCCTGGGCACCTGTGCCTTCGCAGGTGCTCAACACTCAAAAGCAGCTGCTGTACACCCGCTGGGCACCCGATTTGACACACTCCATAGCTCTTGTCCCATTTCCTCCCCATCCTGCAGAAGAATTCTCATTTTAGAAGGAGAAACTGAGGCTCAGAGAGGGAAGGATGCTTCCTCGAGACCATACTGTTTGGAAGGGGCAGATCTGTCCAGCTCCCTAATCCTGTGTCCCTGGTAGCCTCTTGCCTCCCTCCTATTCCTTGGGCTTCTTGACCACTGCTTCCAGCCCCTAGAGCTCACACAGCATCACACAGACAGGACAACTTCTTGAGGTCAGTATCCTATCCTATTTTATAGACAGGGAAAGTGTGGCTCAGGGAGGCCTCACGATGAGCTGGGCTGGGGTCAGGAACATGACTGGATGAAACCAGGAGACCCCCATCTTACGTGAATCAGAATATTGCCACACTCTGTGTGAAGTGGGCATAGGTCAGTGACACCCACCTCTAGCCTTAACAGGTGCTTTCCTTCACAGGAAGGTGGGCGCCCTGTGGGAACCTGGGCACACCTGCGCCCAGCAGAAGCCAAAGGATCCTGGTCACACAGTTGTCATGGAAACACCAGAGGATGCTCTGAAGGCAGGAGACTGGCCTGCCCAAAGGGCAGGCCCAAAGGGAACTCGGGGCTGTGCCAGGACCCATCCTCACATGTGCCAACCCCAAGGCCCCAGACCTCTAAGCATCGAGTGGAATAGATGCCAATCCCATCCCTGATGCTCACTTTGTGTGTGACCCTGGGCAAATCACCTGCCTTCTCTGGGCCTTCTCTTTAAAACAGAAGCATGAGTTCCAATCCTGGCTACGCCATTAACTACGTGATCTCAGGCAAATGAATTCCTCTCTCTGACCGTCTATTTCCTCACCCTTTGGAGGGAGGGCAGGCCCTGGGGCTGCGAGGTTTGGGATCAGTTCCAAAACCAAGTTCCTCATACTTTCCCAAAGGCCCAGAGAGAAAACCTGTATCCTCAGAGGTCTGAGGATTCAGGAAAAAACCTGTGCTGGTGCCTAATTTTTATATTGTCCAAAATCCCTGCCGGTTCTGCATTCCTCTCCAAAAGTCTCTTTTAGTTCTACTTAAAAGCACCCCATGGTACTGCCCAGGGTGAGCGCATGCACAGCTATAAAATGGTCAAAGAAAAAAATGAAGCACGAAGTCTGAAGAGTGGACAAGCCGACCTCGAGAGAGGTAGTAAGCACTGAGCACTCCTCTCTGGGGGAGGAGGCGGTGGGGGGCGGGGCTCAGTGCCTGAGATGCTGGGTCAGGCGTGCCCATCCATTTTTTTTTTTCACTTTTTTTTTTTTTTACAGGAAATTCTACTGGTTTTTTTTTTCCCTTTATACCTCTGACCCTTTCTCTGTGCCTCCCCACACATGCCCCTCACCTCAGAAACCTCAGGGTTCTGCTATCAACATCCTCGCGCTTATAATTATTTTGCTTTGTTAGTTTGATTGTTTTGTTTCCTTACATTACTCATACATGTGAAATCATCCAACACTTGTCTTTATCTTTCTGACTTACTCTGCTTTGCATAATCCCCTCAAGTTCATTCCATTTTGCTATAAACGGTAACATTTTGTCTTTCCTGAGACTTACTGAATTCCACTGGGCATGGATATCACCTCTTCTTTATCTGATCCTCTTATTAGTGGGCACTTAGATTGTTTTAAAGCAAACATTTATGTGCGTGCTACGTGCCAATACTGTTCTAGGTGGATGAACCAGAGACTAAGACAGACCCAAATCCTTATATGGCAGTGGGAAGAGAGAGAAGAAATGAAATAAACAAGTAAAACAGGAGTATGCCAGATTGTGCTAAGTGCTAGGGAGAAAAGTCAAGCAGGGAGCAGTGGACAGAAAATGAGAGGGGAACCATTTTCAGCAGGATGGTCAAGAAGGCTTTTCTGAGCAGGTGACATCTGAGTAAAGACTGGAAGGAAATGCAGCTGCAGATTTTTCTTATTTTTCACAATTGTGGGTGGCCATTATTTGCTAAGGAAAGTGAGTCTCAAAGAGGTAAAACTAAGGTCACCTGGAAAATAATAGAGACATGGGGCGGCGGGGGGGGGGCCTTCTGTTCCTCTCTAGGAAAGGTGAGAGCAGTACCCCTGGCCACCCTGCCCCAGGCCTTGGCAGACATCACTAATTGATCCAATCCATCACACCTCTCTCCCTTAATGAAGCTAGATTTCCAAATCCTCAGAAGAGACACTATCAATCATAAGGGGTTGGCAAAGCTCCCTGGAGGCTGCTGAAAAGAAGACCCCAGGAGAAGGGGACTTAGCTTAGGAGAAGAGGATCTGGAAGGGGGAAGCATCTTCCAGGGAACTGGGAGTCCCCCCACCCAGAAACCTTCCCAGCTTCTCAGGTTTAGCAGCGGTAAGGGGGAGAATGGACCAGCAGGCCCCTGGGGATGCGGTGTGGGCAGAGGAAGGGAGCGGGGGTTGGGGGGCAGTGCTGCTTAAAGGGAGGGACCCTCCACCGGCTTGCCCAGCAGTCCAGGGTGACCCCACTCACTGCAGAGCTGTGGTTCGTTGAGGTAACCGGGTCTGGCTGCCTCAGACGACAGTCGCCTTGGAATCTCTCCCTTGTGGCAAGATGCTCTTCAGAGCTGAGAAACAAATCTGGAAGGAACCACGAGGGGCTCTCCCCGCCTTCACCCTCTCCCCCTTCTTCCCACATAAAGAGAAACATTTCAGGGTTGAAGAAATGACTCATTTTCCCCAGAGAGGGCCAGGGTCAGGCTGAGTCAGGCTGCAGGAACCCATGGGCACCGATCAGCCTGCCTGCGCCGGTGGGAGGGCTCTGGGGCCCAGGAGACAGGCGACAAGGATGGGAGGCTAGAGGGGGTGCTGTTCTCCTGGGTGTCACCAGTGCTGCTCACGAGGAACCTGCCAGAGAAGAAAGCTTCCTGGGGACTTTACTGAACGAGCTTTATGGCTGACTCACTGACACCTAAGGACAGTGAAAACCCACAAATCACCAAAGAAGGAAAAAGCACTTCCTCTTAAGCAATCCCCTAGATGGAGGGATTAGAGACTGCCAGCAGAAACCTCACTTACATTTGGTGCAGCATTTGTTCTTGAAAGAAAGTTGTACAATAGATGGGTTACAAAATGCAATTCTGTGTGTTGAATTCTCTCTCTCCACAAGCTGGCATGAGACACATGGAGACGCGCCCCTCATGCCAGATGAACCATAAACAGGCTGTGAAGTTGGCTGGCTCCCCACCCAGACCCCTGTGGCGACTCCCTCTCTATGCATCTGCCACTGGGCACGTGGGGGGTGCACAGCCAACACAGCCAGCACCCCTGCCTTAGAGGACTCTCCTCCCAGAGGGAGAGAAGTAACCGGCACATTAGGGTGTGAGTGCCAGGAGGACAGCACGGTGCCAGCTCCTCTTCCAGCTCCAACCTTGCTTCCAGCGGCCAGGTCCCTCCCCAACAGGTGCCCTTGCTCCCCTCCAGAGAGACCCCAGATGGGCTTCCAGAGCAACTGTCTCCTTGTCCTCCTTTGCTGGGTTCCTCTGTCTTGGCCGTGGATGACTTTTCTGAACTGTAAGTTCACCAGGTCTTAACCCCAGAGTCAGATGCACCCGGCAGCCTGCAAAGAACACCTCTGAGGTCTTGTGAAGACTGGCTCTAAGCCACGTGGCCTTAGTCAAGTCACTTCTCCTTAGCAAGGCTCAGCTTCCCCATCTGTCTACTGGGTGGCAGTAGGATGACTCTCTTCCGACTTGATTGGGGCAGGAAATGCAGCACACGGGCCTGGCTCCAAGTTAACAACTCGCCAGGTCACAGGTCCCGTGAGCACATGAGTCCTGTGCGCGCCACGAGCACAGGTCAGAAGAAAATGAGAAGTGTCTGGAAGAGCCGCGCTGCTCCAGGGTCCTGGGGCTGTCCTCTGCTCTCTGCCAGGGGCTCCAGGAGATCCTGGCTTCCCTGCGAATTTGCTAGTAGCGCTTTCCCCACCTGCCCGAGTTCCCACCTAGTCCTGGTTTCCATACCTGCTGAGGGAAGGGCCCTTCCCCTGCCTTGTCCTCACCCTGAGCCAGCAGATGTCAGGGCCTGGGCTCTGGCAGCTTCGCTGGCCTCCCTGGTTCTTCTCAGCTCTGTTTCTTCCAACCAGTGCTCTGAGCCAACAATAGCTGCTTCCCAGGCTCAGTTGCCACCCAGCACATGGCTCCCTGAGCAAAAATACCCATGCGGGGGAGGGCGGGGAGGCTCAGGAGGGGCCACAAAGCAAGAGAGGGGGTAGTGGAAGGGAGAAAGCACAGTTCTTGAGCAACAGCTATGTGTCCCCAGGGCTTGGGGATTCACACACTGGAGAGATGTGTGTGTGTGTGTGTGTGTGTGTGTGTGTGTGTGTTTTGGGAGAGGGGGGCCTGGAGGAGTGGGGGATCCTGTCCCCAGAGAGTTCAGGCCCAGGTCTAAGGTCCAGGAGCAATTCTCGGCAAGAAGCTCCTGAGGGAGAGAAGACTCTAGAATTTCGTGATTATAAAAAAGGGGCCTGAAGCCCCAAAGGAAAGCGGGACTCAGATACAGAGGGAATAAGGTTTATGTCACGAGTCATACTGTCTGGATCCCAGGAAGGGGTAGTTAAGATCAGGGTGGGGAGGCAAGGAGAGACCTGCAGTTCATTTAACTGGAATATCTCCAAGATTTAATTCACGAGACAGGCTAACTGGGGGGAGAAAAAGGAAATCTTATATGGTAGCCAGTCCTAGAGGTCTGGATGGGGGGGGGAGGGGGCGCCTCCTTAGATCTTTGGAACAGCTCCACCCCCACCCAGTATGGGGCTGCTCAGTGGTTGCAGCCCTAGCTTCTAGGCACTCCCCCAACTCTGTGGACTCCTTCAAAGCCTGGGGAGGGCCTCAGGGGACACAGAGGTCACAAGGAAGGAATCTGGAGGTCAAAGTGCTTCAAAGGCAGAATCTGTGCCCATGAAGCATCCCCCTCTCCTGAGCCCTGCAGGAGGCAGGGGGTGCAGAGAGGAGGTGCAGGCCTGGAGGAACAACTGTGCAGAAGCAGCTGCTGGGAATCTGGCCCAGAGTCAGAGAGTCACAGAACAGCCCTGGGTCAGGGGGCTCCCGCTACAGCATCTGGGCTCTGCCGCTGCTGAGCTGTGTGACCCCAACCCAGGGCAGCTCACCCAGCCGTCTGGGCTCTGTGTTCTCACCTGTCAAAGCAACCCCCAGCCCTTCAGTCCTACCCTGCACATCTGTCTGCCTCTCCCTCACCACTACCCGCGGCCCGAGCTGAATCACAGCCTCCCACTTCCATCCCTGCGCCCTCCTCCAAGTCCACGTCCATTCAACAGTGAGAGTGAGCTTGGTGAGAGGCCAGTTGGCTCCTGTCACCTTCCAGATGGCACCCCTTCCAGGGTGGGGTGAACCCTCCACCCTGCCAGTTAGAACCATTTGCCTTTTCTTCCTTGGCAGCCTTAAGTGGGGTCTTTTGGTGTAGAAGAAAATAAACCTATGTCTAAGCCTAACATTTATTGATTTGATATCTCTCCCTCCTCGCCCCCACCCCAGCCTCCTGCTACTGCTGTCAGGATGAAGTCCAAATCTTTTACCCGGTTTACTACAGGGTCCAGTCCCCAGCCACCCCTCAGCTTCACCCTGGGACACTCCTGCCCTTGCTTTCTACTCCAGTTACACTCTACATGCCATAGGTCACCTACTTCAGGGCCTTTGCACATGCTGTTTGCCTGGCCTAGAATCTTCTTCTCTCCCTTTTTTTATCTGGTTAACCTTAGCCCAAGCTTCAGATCTCTGCTCAGGGCTTCTTCCTAAGGGAAGTCTTCTCTGCTCCTGTTCTGCCTGCAGCTCGTACTTGGGATGGGCTCCTCTGACACTTGCCCGCAACAGTTATCTGCCCCTAAGGAGAGCACTGTGTGGTTACAGAAGACCTTGTCTGTTTGCCCACCATTCCCTAGCCTGTGCCTGGTACACAGTGGGTGCTCAATAAGTGGCACTCAATGCCACCACTCCTCTTCCTGTATTTACCTCCTTATGTTTACCTGGTTGGCAGAGCCTGGGCTGCATGCCTCCAAGAATCTGTACGCAGGAGTGGGCAAAAGAGCAGTGTGGGGTCCTGGGAAGGATACATATTGGCGATTGAGGGATCTGGGCTCTAATTCCAGCTCTGTTGTTACTATGAGCTGGTTGACTTCGGGCAAGTCACCTAACCTCTCTGAGCTTCAGTTTACTCAATTAATGCAAAGATTAAATGAACACTTTATACACACTGGTTACAAACATTGTGATGGGTTGAAATCTCTTCTAAGACTTCTCCTTTTGCATTAATTGCCCCCCATCAAAGCAGCACTATGATGGCTGAAATAACAAAATAAAACACCTAGGACAGTGCTAGAAAGTGGTACATCTGCCCAGAGCAGGCAAGTGATAAATCAGGAGTTCTATAGTGATCTGTGGCCTTTTAGCATCAGAATCAGAAAGTTTTCTAGAAGTCTAGGTTCCTAGGCCGGATGCCAAACTTGCTGAATCAGATGTCGGGGACAGGGGCAATAAAATCTGCATCACTTGAGTTTGAGGGGCTGCAATCATGCAATCTTTTTGTTGTGTCACTAACCTTCAGTTCCTGGGCTCCCTGGTGATAAGCCCAGAGGTTATCTGGAATGGGGTGACAGCATCTGTCACCAGAAAGGCAGATGGCCTGTCATAAACTAGTTTGCTTCCTGTGGCTTAAAAGCATGAGTTTAGACAAGTCAAGGTATAAATTCTGGTTGCTACTTACTTGCTGAGCTGTGTACTTTGGGTAAGTGGCTCAACCTCCCTGAGTTGCTTTCCACAGATTTAAAATACTGATAAACAATCTCTACCTGCTAGGACTGTAGGGATGATCTGAGGAAGTGACTTATGCAAAGCACATTTCAGATACTGAGGGGTGGCGGATGGGTGGAGAGCCGAAAAACAAAATAGGAAATGCTTCATTGTCTCCCATGCCTGCTTTGCAGGCACAGGTGCACAGGAGGTGGAATCCAAGTGTCCGTCTCAGGACACAAGTCCTGGCCATGCAGTGAGGGAGGAAACCCTGCCTGGAAGGCTGATCAACCACCCAGCACCCTTGCATTTAGAATGGGCCGGTGGTGGGGTTTGCAAGGAGAAGCAAGGGTTGGAGGGGAAACGGCTGGACCATTGCTGTGGGCTCCCACTGGGTGGCCTGGGTCCCAAAGAATCACATCTCCCAGGACCAGGCCTTAAAGGGCAGAGAAGCCAAGCATGCCACGTGGGTGAGGACACAGATTCTGGAGGCAGACTGTTCAGCTTTAAATTCTGGCTCTGCCACTCCTGGTTCTGCCTGGCTGGCAAACTCCTACTTGTCCTTGAAGACCTAACTCTAATATGACCTTCCTGCCCACACACTCAAATACTGTTCAGCAATTTGCCTGTTGACCTGGCTACCTCCCCCAAGGTCTGGGGGTTCCTCAAGAGCAGGGACACCACCCCACGCCTGGCACAGAAGATGCACTCTGCAAATGTTGGGTTAGTTTGAATTCCAAGTTTTCCAGCCTTCTGAGCTCCCTCCCCTCCCCACTAAATACTTCCTATTCTAATTCCTGTTACTCTCCCTGATATAAAATCTTCATCGGTAGTTTGAACTATCGACACTTTTTCCTGAAGGTCTATATCAGCTCATCCCAGGCTGATAGTTAAGAGAGACTGTACAGAGACCTAACATTGACTTCTTTACCTTCGGGGGCTGCAA